TATTCACAATATTGATACATACTGAGATATTATGATCAAATAATTGTAAAAGGCACTTTTATTGCTTTAAACGGCAATGCTGAAATTCATTATTTACTTCCGGTAGTATGATGCTACTTCCGGTAGCATTGACCTAATTATAAAACAGCATCAGGATAAGGATTACTAGCATTAAATCAGCAAGCAAAGGAAGCATTCAAATCAGCAAGCAAAGGAAGCATTCAAATCAGCATCGATGCTGTAACAAAATTAGTTTCCTGCACTGTATGTAGCAACGTGAATGTGATAGGACTTTTTAACAGTATGCAGAGGCGTAAGCGTAGTCACGTACATCGGTCTTACAATAAACCTATTATACGCGTTGTTTCCTTTGACTCACTACTATATGTACCTTATGTAAATAAAGTTAGGCCTTCATCACATTCGAACCAAACTTTACTCTGTCCCTTTGAAAGTTTTGAATAGTCTGTAAAAGTCAAGTAAGTCCATATCTGGATTCTTCCGACGCCAGAATACAGGCTCGGATCTGTGATTATGGATATTGCAAATCAGGCTTTTTAAACCGCTACGTCTTGCGGAAGAAAATACCGCTCAAACAACCCGTTTGTTCCTTAAACTATAATATACCAACAAAGGAATTGACGCAGTTAATATAAGTAATATTCTTAGTCACAAAAAGGTCCAGTCTTGTATTCCACCATATTTCAAATTTAAGTCCACAACTTGTACTTCATACAAATATATATCGACAATTGCTTCCAAACTTTTCAATTAAAAACAAACTCTACAGTTCCTAGATATCGGGCATCTGAAAAATAATCCTCCAACGTGTTCATGTTCTTCTTCACCCTACAACTATAGTCCTGCTGGACACGTCACTACTGTACAGTACAGTCTTCAGTGATTTTGATAAATACGACAATGTAATTTAGAATGAAAATCTGTATTTAAACAAGAAATCATCCCATCTGCTATAGTGAACTATAGCATAAAATATTTACACAATGCCTATCTTAACATACTAGCTATAATTTCATACATATATCTTTACATCAAACTTTGAAATTAAATGTTTTAATAAAATATCTTCATATAGACAATTTAAACGTAACTAAATTTAAGAACTTAGTTCTTAATAATTAATTTATTTTTATTAACTCCCATACAAAAAAAATATAAATCTATAAAATCACACATATATCTTTATGTACAGTATTCCAAAAATATAAATATTATTTTCCAGTTTATTTACGGCTAACCACATTTGCAGAGGAAATTGAATTAAGAAAAAAGTACATTTTGGGGGGGGGGGGGGGAAGGGGGGAGTATTAAAACTTCCAAAACCCTGAAAAAAGGAAATGTTAAGAAATACATTTATTTTAAAAACTTTCATTAAATTTCAGAATGAATTGACTATAAAGAGTACTATAAATGAAAATGTTCTTTTTCATCACAATAAGTTCATCATAGCGCTCTTCTTAAAAATCCTCAATAGACTCGTCGTTTCCTGTTTGTTGTCCCTGTCTGTTGAGAAAAAGCAAGGCCAAGTGAATAAAAAACAAAAACGACTAGAACTGTCCAAAAGGGACAAATACCCCCCGCTGGGTTTTTCAGAGGTGCCAAATCACTAATATTTTATGGATCTACGAGGTTTTTAATTTACAATTTTCTTATTAACATTTAGAGTGAAAAAATAATTGCTCATTATATTTTTTATATGAATGAAACCAAGGAACAACCTAATAAAACATCAATACCAATAGATTGTAATTGGTATACATTGTTTTTTAATAGATTGAAAAAATAAATTGCAACTATCTGTCATCTTTTTGAGACATGACATTCTGCAAATTGATTGTTGAAAAAAAAATCAATTAATTACAAAATCAAATTAATGTTGATAACTTTATATCAAATTCATTTTAAAAATGAATGGTTGTCACCAGTAACTATGTACTATGACTGACAATAAATTTCAATTAAGAGAATTAAAGAACAGAGATCTTTAAATTCCTAGGAGATATAGATAACACATGCTTGATCAGAGATGCACTAACAACTTCCCACACTGAACTCGTTAATTTATCTCTAACTGGATGATGTCCACTCATTACTCCCAAGGGACAAATGGATTAACACTATCTGCTGTGTAATGTAAAAATTGTTTTTAATACTTGGTGATTTTTTTTTTTGTTTTAATGAATAGTTTTAAGCTGAAGTTCACATTTTTGTACAGATGTTCTAGATTCTGTGTCTCAATCCTTAGAAATAAACTCAAAATGACTAAGTCAATAAAAATAAAAATTTTAAAAAACCCTGTAAAATGCAGAAAAATTATCAAATAATGTTGAAAATACCAGGTGCACATCTTCATATGGTAAATAATGAGTGTACAAATTTTTATACAATTCTATGAAATAGTCTTTGAGAAAAGGTCAGGACAAAACCACATAATAACCAGAAGTCTCTGATGAGACTGTAGCTCTACTGGTCTGTTTGTATAACAAAAGAAAAGTAGCAATTGGATTTGAAACATTGCAACATGCAACAATAAATAGAATTATGTATCTTAATGTAGTCTACTTTTGTGACAAGTTATATTGAAATCAAATGAAAACTAGGAGAAGTAGCGTTTTGAAAGTATTTCACGGAAATTTCTATTTTTAGTACCGGTAACCATGACAACACCACTCACCCAAATAAAAAAAAAAACAGAAATACATATTATGTATCGTAGTGTATTCTAACTGTGTGCCAAATTAGATTGAAATCAGACCAAAATTGTAGGAGGAGTAACGTTTTAAAGGAATTTCACAGAAATTTCTATTTAAAGTAACCATGGCAACACTGTTCATCGAATTCAAAAACCAATGCAATAAATTATGTATCTTAGTATAGTCTTCTTGTATGCCTAATTATATTAGAAGCAGACTAAAACTGTAGCAGGAGTAGTGTTTTAAAGGAATTTCACAGAAATTTCTATTTTTAGTAACCATGGCAACACCGTCCATCGAAATCAAAAACCGATGCACTAAATTATGTATCTTAGTGTAGTCTACTTGTGTGCCAAGTTATATTGAAATCGGATCAAAACTGTAGGAGGAGTAGCGTTTTAAAGGAATTTCACAGAAATTTCTATTTTTAGTAACCATGGCAACACCGTCCATCGAAATCAAAAACCGATGCACTAAATTATGTATCTTAGTGTAGTCTACTTGTGTGCCAAGTTATATTGAAATCGGACCAAAACTGTAGGAGGAGTAGCGTTTTGAAGGAATTTCACAGAAATTTCTATTTGTAGTAACCATGACAACACCGTCCATCGAAATCAAAAACCGATGCACTAAATTATGTATCTTAGTGTAGTCTACTTGTGTGCCAAGTTATATTGAAATGGGACCAAAACTGTAGGAGGAGTAGCGTTTTAAAGGAATTTCACAGAAATTTCTATTTTAAGTAACCATGGCAACACTGTTCATCGAATTCAAAAACCAATGCAATAAATTATGTATCTTAGTATAGTCTTCTTGTATGCCTAATTATATTAGAGCAGACTAAAACTGTAGCAGGAGTAGTGTTTTAAAGGAATTTCACAGAAATTTCTATTTTTAGTAACCATGGCAACACCGTCCATCGAAATCAAAAACCGATGCACTAAATTATGTATCTTAGTGTAGTCTACTTGTGTGCCAAGTTATATTGAAATGGGACCAAAACTGTAGGAGGAGTAGCGTTTTAAAGGAATTTCACAGAAATTTCTATTTTTAGTAACCATGGCAACACTGTCCATCGAAATCAAAAACCGATGCACTAAATTATGTATCTTAGTGTAGTCTACTTGTGTGCCAAGTTATATTGAAATGGGACCAAAACTGTAGGAGGAGTAGCGTTTTAAAGGAATTTCACAGAAATTTCTATTTTTAGTAACCATGGCAACACCGTCCATCGAAATCAAAAACCGATGCACTAAATTATGTATCTTAGTGTAGTCTACTTGTGTGCCAAGTTATATTGAAATGGGACCAAAACTGTAGGAGGAGTAGCGTTTTAAAGAAATTTCACAGAAATTTCTATTTTTAGTAACCATGGCAACACCGTCCATCGAAATCAAAAACCGATGCACTAAATTATGTATCTTAGTGTAGTCTACTTGTGTGCCAAGTTATATTGAAATGGGACCAAAACTGTAGGAGGAGTAGCGTTTTAAAGAAATTTCACAGAAATTTCTATTTTTAGTAACCATGGCAACACCGTCCATCGAAATCAAAAACCGATGCATTAAATTATGTATCTTAGTGTAGTCTACTTGTGTGCCAAGTTATATTGAAATCGGACCAAAACTGTAGGAGGAGTAGCGTTTTAAAGAAATTTCACAGAAATTTCTATTTTTAGTAACCATGGCAACACCGTCCATCGAAATCAAAAACCGATGCACTAAATTATGTATCTTAGTGTAGTCTACTTGTGTGCCAAGTTATATTGAAATCGGACCATAACTGTAGGAGGAGTAGCGTTTTGAAAAATTGTTTACAGACAGACGGACAGACAGACAGACAGACAGACGGACGGACGACGGACACCTTACTATCGCATAAGCTCTTCTGGTCTCTGACCAGTAGAGCTAAAAATGAAAAAAAAAAAACTGTAAAATGCGGAAAAATTATTCAATTACGATGAAAATACTAGGTGCACACCTTCATATGGTGAATAATAAGTGTACAATTTTTCAGACAAATCTATGCAACAGTTTCCGAGAAATGCTCTGGACAAAATCTTGTCTACAGACAGACGGACGGACATGGTGATTCCAATATATCCCCCCTAAACTTCGTTTGCGGGGGGTATAAAAATGTAAAGATAAGAAATAATATTAGTATGTGTATCAAATCCCGACCTCCGAATACTAGTGTACATGTATATAACAAATCGGTACTAGTTTTAAATATTCATGACATTATTTTAAAAATGAGTATAACATACATATTATAAAAATGAAGCACCTAGTGACGTTTGACCATCATCAGCGTCTCCTTGATATACTTCCCATTCTGTAATGTAGGAAACCATGGATTAATCCAGTCTCCGGAAGACCAGGGGCCATTGAGGAAGCCCTGGTGACATTTGTGAAACCACCACCCTCCTCTCCAATCAACAGCACAGTTTCCTTCACTCCACCTGTCGTTATCCCTGTCTGAGGTAGTGAAGTACATCCCAGACAGTTCAGTGTACACATCTCCTGTGTGTAACATACTGTCACCTACAGAATGAAAGAAAACAAAATGATGTTAGACATCTATTCTACACGATTCAGAAAAGTCACTTCTTGTTAATTATATAGTCATTCATCCAGTATAAACCTTGTCATCTGAGAGTTAACAATACTGTGACCTGTGCAGAACACAGGTACTTTTACCCTTTTTTTTTAAATCACGGATCGACACACTTTTTTCCTATTGTGTATTCTAATATGCATTACGCTATCAATAATGCAACCTTTTTGGGTTTCTTAAACGGGTGTAAAATTTTGCGTTTTCCTTAAAGGCATGCCAAAAATTTAGGCGGACACGAATTCGACGACATTGCAAATCATAAGCATACTTTTATACCATTTAAAAGGCGAGAGCTCCAGGTACCTTAGATATCAAACCAGAAGCATACTTTTACCACTTGAAAAGAAAGTGCTACAGGTACCTTAGATATGAGAAACGATAATTTTACACCACATAGATCAAATTATGAATTAACGTCGTAATGAGTTTAATTGTAGATACAAAGACCGGTAAATGCAGAAAGAGAAATATTGAAATTGAACAAGGTTATTCTTCCTGCATTAAGTATATATTTACGCGAGGGTGCAATTTTAGCGATTAAAATTAAAGCTGACGAAACCACTAAAAGAAGCCGAATTCAACATCCCGTTAAAAAATCCCGCTATGCGGTATATGTTGCATTAAAACATTTTATACCTAAAATTCCAATTTATATGTTACATGTATCTCCCTCTCTCCTTCTTTATTTCTCGTTTGTTGCCCTATATACCTGTTATATACATAAGATTTTATCATTTAATGTGATTAATTTGTCATTAACACAATATGTATTTTTTTTTCCTGTCACGTACCCAAGGTTCCCATTGCAGGTCCCTCCAGAAACAATTTGTACTTCTCTGTTTCATTGGAAATGGAGAATTGATCGTACAACTCGTACCAATTCGTAATATAAAATGTTGTGATGGAAACATACAAGGATGAGGTCTTTCCCTTTGTTAACTGATGGATTACGTCATTTCCTGTGTTAAGATTATACAAATCAATTGGTAGGTCTACTGCAAAACAATTTTTAAAATGTAAATACACCCATTAAAAATCAAATTACATTCCTAAGCTATTTCAACTAATTTAGTTTAGGCTCGATTAATGAGGGCGGATCGATCAAGTCATTCCAGAGAGCATTTTATTGTTTGATTGTAAAACATGTTATCAGTGTCAAAAGAGTACACAAAACTCAGTCCTTTTAAAACGAAACCTCTTTTTCCTGTCATTTAGATAAAGAAATTTAATGGTGTTCAGTCTATAAGAACCTTTACTCGGAGTTGTCCTGCCAGACCACTGCTGCGGCAATCAAATACTAAGACGGGAGATTCACAGATTCATATGAACGAAACCCTTGAGCTCTAATAATGTTAGCCTTTCAACTATGTTACTTGTCCAACAGTGAAAACCTGCCTGGGCATTATATCTTCACCTTAATGAATACACACGCATTAAAATACACCAATCCAAACACATCCAGGCACGTTTCTTATTTGTCACTCCCAGGGCATGGTAATGACATCAAATGCAAATAAGGACAATCGTCAAGAAGCATACCAAGAGTCGTACTACGAACCCAAAACTACAAACAGATGATCTACCTCCTGAGTAATGAGAACACGGAAAAACTGATTGTCTGACCAACAATAGGCCATTGTCTCCCTAGGGCAAAAATTTCAGAAAAATATTTCAGTTTATCAGTATGTATAATTTATCAAGTTTTCACATGGATTGGTAGATTTCACTTTTTCAGCATTTCTTTTCCAACAAATCTCATTGAAATATTTTTTTTTATAATCTTTCTACCTATTCGCCCACTTTCTCACTAAAATTTAAATATTCTTTAGTACTTTCTAAACCAACATAAAAGGAAGGTAAAAAGCTTTTCTTTTGATATGTTTAGAACAAATTCAACTTTTTTTTTATTTTTGCCATAGTAATCTAATTTTTAAACCAAAACTTGCAAACTGTAAATTTCTGGGATGTATTTCGATATTTCAATTTATGCATCGATGTACCGGCCCCCTCTGCATCACAATTCATTGATTCCCTTCAGGTCCATAAGAAGACTTTGCCCTCCATAATTCAAATTTAAAATTTTCAATTTTAGACCTTCAATTAGTTGTTATCATCATGGAGGAGTATACAATACTAGTATGGTCATGTCCTGAAATATTTTTTTTTCTCTCATATCTATTTGTTTAGCTCTATATTTTAGGAATGTAGTAATAAACACTATCATTAAGAATCGCCGAGCACAAATTACACAGTGTTGAAATCAGACCTTTGCTTCTTTTTTAAAACTGTCTCTACCTCGATCCTTTGTCAAATATAAATCTGATCAACGATCCGATTTTAGTAAGATTTATATTTACCGATCCAGACATTCTGTTCCGGTGTACCAAAACCATTCTTATAATCTGCCCAATTCCTTTCAAAGCTTAGGGATCCATCTACTCGTTTTTGTATTACCTTCCAAAAATAAATACATCTGTATATTCATTCAATTAATATTGTGACGAACATTTCTTTAATAAGTGTAATAAAGATTCAAATTATGTTTTTTTTTTGCCCCTATCAATCCCTTGCAAATAAAAATGACAGATTCCAGTAGACATTTTTTTGCCAATTTTAAAGCTTTGTACATTAACTAGATACCGTCCATCCTCCGTTCATTGTTTCCATATCACAATAAACACTGACAGGACGGGAGCTGGTGTCAAAGGGATAAATCTCGTACACACCGGAATTAGTGTGACCATTTTCACGGAGATCCTTACAATCTTTAGCCCGAACTAAAAAAAGAAAATATTACATGAACGGATATTAACTCTAGACAAGAATAGATATGTGTTACCCCATATCCAAGATATCCGACTTTAGTTCACTTGAATTTTAACTGTGCCCTTTCATTAAGAAAAAAAATGCACTCGTTATGAAACTGGTGCATAGTTCCTCATATCCGTAGCAAATACTGTCACAAGTCGTGCGTCACTGGCTCCAGTCTTTGGCACCCCTCTTTTTCAGCTCTTCAAAGTTTTTTTTTTTATTTAAATATTTCGAATTTCCAACGTTTTGGCATGAGCATCAGTGACATAATTTGTCGAAATGCGCATCTGGTGCATCAAAATTGGTACCGTATGTGATTTACATTATGACTCCTGGATCGAGGCCTCTGCTGGTGGACTGTTGGTCCCCGAGAGTGTCTACAGCCCAGTAGCTAAGTTCTTCGGTACTAGCTTGAAAATACGGATATAAATCTAATTGCTGTGGTAAAATTTAGAAATTTATTTCAAAATTTAATGATTATCTCCCTTATGCATAGCTCTGATCCTTCGACGTATTTGGCTCGAGTCTTTGGCACCCCTCTTTTCAACTCTTCGAAGTTTTTTTTTTTAATTTAATTACATGTATTTCGGATTTCCAACATTTCGGCATGAGCATCACTGAAGAGATATAATTTGTCGAAATGCGCATCTCGTGCATCAAAATTGGTACCGTATATGATTTCCATAGCAAACAGTGCACACTCTTGTGTCTGCAAGACATATGAAACTCTGGATAGGTGGCACAAATACGGTACAAAGATATTTAATAATGCTTGTTTGTCAGAATGATTAACTACATTTTGTCGCAACTATACATTTCCATCTGCAACAAATAGCCTAGGTCTTCACACGTGCGATCAGAAATCTATGCAGGTGTTGTATAACCATTCCGTCATTAAAAACAGACAAGAGGCCCAAGGGCCTTAACGGTCACCAGAGTATAATTCAACAATTTAGAGGATCTATAGCGTATAAAATAAACTGATAGATGAAGCTTTGTTGCCCAAAAGCAAGAGAAGTAGGAAGATCAGGATCAACAAAATAATTAGTCTTATATTCAGAATCAACTCATAAATTAAGTTCTAATCTGCCCCCCACTTATCACTATCTCCATGCAGACTATTAACAAACATTAAGTGCTCCTGCACTATTTTTAAACCCATATATAAACCTCTCACATTGATCTCTCTTGGTCTTTGAAGAACATTTAATAAGACAAGTTATTTTTGTCTCATTTTTATTTATCTATTATTTACAGTTCTACCTGATCATTAAAACTAAGAAAGTACTTTTTGTATTATACAATAAAAATTCTTGCATAATTATCTTATTCTATGAACCTTTCAAATACATTATAGTGATTAATAATCAAAGGTGAATGGGGAATAACTTCTCTCAGTAAAATACAAATTAATAGAGCCCTGCCCAGGTCCAGAACGCTTAATCAAATGGTCCAGATGTTCAAAAATCAGGTAAAAATACCTTGCTTATTAAAACTTTTACTCAGTTTGCCTCCAATATGCCCATGCAGAAGCAGAGAAGAATTTCACAGGTACAATGCATTTTCCCTCATCATCATAATTATGCACTTCAAATAATTAATACATTTCCACTGTATTATCAAAAGCCCCCCCCCCCCCCCATTATGCCAGAACCCGTCCCTGGGACCACAAGTTTTAAAAATTCTGTTAGAAGCTCCCTTGTTCATCATAACTATGCAGTTTGCTTATCTGCTCAACATAAGGAGCAGACAGGATCAATTAATAGAATTAATGCATTTTCAGTATATTATTCTCAATAGAGCCCCACCCTTACACCAGAACATCTGACCCAGGGGCCATGAAACTCACAATTCTGGAAGAACGCATGTGAGTTAAGGCTAAGTATAGGCGTTTCTATGCAAATGAGCTAATAGAAACACATAAGAGGTATATTTATCATTCAGAGAAAGTTTTGATTTATTTAGTACTCAAGATATGTTATAGCCAGTACACATTATGACGTCATTTTTCAAACCTACTGGAGTTAATAAAACACATCAACAAAACAGCTTCGGCGCAAGGGATTACCCTATTTAATTTTACATAAAAATTGTATGATGCTAAGAATAATATTCTATAGATTAATAAAACTGCTGCACAAATCCTAGGCATTTTCTTATTCGATCGGAATTTGAGGAAACTCATACCGGACTGTACATTTTATCCTTATTCAACTTAAAACTTTACAAATAGAAATTTTATAACTGAGCTGTTGATATTTGTGCAGCAATACTAGCAATCTTTGCAATATTTTGCTTCTAAATATACCTTGTTTCAGTTAAATAGAATAGATCATGCCCTTGCGCCGAAACATTTTAGTTGTGTTCATTATAATCTTGTGAAGTAAAGAACCATGACGTCATAATATGACGTCATAATGTGTACTGGCTATCTCATGTCGTGGGTACCAAGTATTTATTAGACAATAAGTTTTAACTTTCTCTGTATAATAGATATAGTCATTAGGAATTTGAATTAGTTTATTTGCATAGAAATGCCCATACCTAGCCTGAACTCACCTGCGAAGCACTCTTGCTCATTATAACTATACACTTAAGTTTCTTTGCTTTGTAACCAGGAGCAGAAAAGAATTTTTTCAAAGATATTATGCTTCTCCACGATATAATCAATAGAGCCCCCCCCCCCCCCTTTTCCACCAGAACCCCCAGCCCTGAGGCCATATATTTTACAATTTTGGAAAAAAAACATCCTTGCCAATCATAATCATGCACTTAATTATTTTGTTTAAATAATTCTCAGGGGCAGAGAAGATTTTCAAAGAATTAATGCATTTTCACTATATAATCAATAGACCTCCACCCTAACACCAGAGCCCCTGACCCAGGGGCCATGAAATTCACAATTTTTGAAGAATCATAACTATGTACTCAGTTAGTTTGTTTAATACCCAGAAGCAGAGAAGATTTTTATAGAATTAATACATTTTCACTATATAATCGAAAGAGCCCCGCCCTAACACCAGAACCCCTTACCCAGGGGCCATAAAATTAACAATTTAGAAGAGGCATCCTTGCTCATGATAACTATACACTTAGTTTCTTTGCTTTATAACCAGAAGCAGAACAGAATATTTCCAAAGATATGCTTTTCCACTATATAATCAATAGAGCTCCACCCTAACACCAGAGCCCCTGACCCAGGGGCCATGAAATTCACAATTTTGGAAGAGACATCCTTGCTTATCATAACTATACACTTAGTTTCTTTGCTTTATAACCAGGAGCAGAGAAGAAGATTTTCAAAGAATTAATGCATTTTCACTATATAATCAATACAGCCCCGCCCTAACACCAGAACCCCTGACCCAGGGGCCATGAAATTCACAATTTTGGAAGAAGCATCCTTGCTCATCATAACTATGTACTCAGTTCGTTTAATACCCAGGAGCAGAGAAGATTTTCAAAGAATTAAACATTTTCACTATATATTCAATACAGCCCCGCCCTAACACCAGAACCCCTGACCCTGGGGCCATGAAATTCACAATTTTGAAAGAACCATTCTTGCTCATTATAACTATGTACTCAGTTAGTTTGTTTAATACCCAGGAGCAGAGAAGAAGATTTTCAATATGCATTTTCACTATATAATCAATTGAGCCCCGTCCTAACACCAGAATCCCTGATCCAGGGGCCTAGAAATTCACAATTTTGGAGGAGACACACTTGCTCATCATTACTATACATTTAGTTTGTTCGTTGAATACCCAGGAGCAGAGAAGATTTTTTAAGGAATAATGCATTTCACTATATAGTCAACAGGGCCCCACCCTAGCACCAGAACCCCTGACCCTGGGGCCATGAATTTCACAATTTTGGTAGAGGGCTCAATGCCTATTACAATCATGCCAACAATTTGAGTGCTTGATGTCCAGGAGTAAAGAAGAAGATTTTTAAAGATTGCATTAATTTTGATGGTTTTAGCCCCACCCCTCAGGTCCCGGGGGGGGGGGGGGGCAGGGACCATGAAATTCACAATTTTTGTACCCCTTCACCCATTGATGCTATATGCCAAAATTGGTTGAAATTGGTTCAGTGGTTCCAGAGAAGAAGCTGAAAATGTTCAAAAATTGACGGACGACGACGGACGAAAACAGATAGCAATAGGTCACCTGAGTGACTCAGCTGACTTAAAAACCAAACATACACACAGTATTAATGATAAACATTCATTCTCAGAAGGAATTGTATGATAATTAACGAAAAATAATCATGAAAGTAATATAATTGTTGTAATAGTATGATAAATATTCAAAGGTGAAAAAAATTGTCAATCGAAGAATGACCTATAAGATATTTTCGTGAAGAGAACTAAGGAGGCACAAAACGTTGGAACAAAAATACTTATTTACATTTCGGGGGGGGGGGGGTGATTTTAAAATCATTTTACGTTAAATTTGTTTTCTTCCACGTATTGCATACACATCGATATTCTAAACATTTATTGTAATGTTGTATCTGCTGATCATGAATGGGACTGTATTTTTTCAGAGCAATTGTGTGAAGAGTACCTGACTTTAGTAATATATCTTGAATAGATAGTATGCACTGATCGAATTTTTTTAAAAAATTTGAAAATTTTAAAGAAGGACTTTGAACTGTAAAAAAGCCAATCTTTTTTTCTACCTTTTGTATATAGCTAATTTAGTAAGTCCTACATATTATCTAAAAAGGAAGGACACATGGTCACGTGACTTAGTTTAACTACGTCACAGTCTCTGATGTAGATGCAAGACTTTACTTAAAATAAAAAGTACTTACGCATTTTTTAAAAATTTATATTACTCAATCATCTAATTTGAAAAAAAAAAACATTTAAAAGTTTTAACATCCTTGTCAACATAAACAAATTATGAAATAAATTGATCAACTCCTCTGTTTCCCAACTCTGCACGTTCAACAAGTCAGTGACCTCATATTCGTTTTGTTACTACAACAAGATCATATTCCGTGATCTTATTGGCAGTATTGTTTCGGAAAAAAACATATCATAATCGACACTTTGAAAGGTACTTTGTGAAGCAGCAATCTCAAAAAAATATTTTTACGTGGTTGGTAGCAAATTTTTATGTGGTTGTAACTTCTTTCGCTTATTAAACTTGTGAGATAATGGTTTTCCCGTAATAGAAAATATGTAAAACATGGAAGTGTTTTTATCATGCTTGTGTCTTCTCTAATGGTGTCCTGTGCAATATTGAGTTAAGCGTTACCTTTCGATTTTTTTTTTTACAATTAATCAATAAAATAAAAGATTTTAGTTTCAATGTAAATTTTCAATAATTGAATGAATGATAGAATTTTTTGCAAACATTTTTTTTTTGTGTTAATAAACTAATATAGTTGTCTTGAAAGGTACACAATTTTCCGTATCCATATCCAGTGTGAAAACAAGAGGCCAATGGGCCACATCGCTCACCTGAGCACATTGGCTAGGAAAAAGCACAAATCGGTTCAGTATTGAAAAATTTACGGGGGGGGGGGGGGAGGGCTTGAGGATGCTTCTATATCAGTATAACAAATGGCTTTGCTGTTCTTGAGCAGCAGATTTTTTCTTGTATATTGCTTTGCAAAAATTTAATCCCCCGTAGTGGCCCCTCCCTATCCCCAGGGGTCATCATTTGAACAAACTTGAATCTACACTACCTGAGGATGCTTTCATATCAATAAGACTAAACATGACTTTTCTGTTCTTGAGAAGATTTTTTCCTATGTATTCCTATGTAAAACTTTGATTCCTCATTGTGGCCCAACCCTACCTCGGGGGATCATGATTTGAACAAATTTTAATCTACACTACCTGAGTATGCTTCCATATCAGTTACACTAAACATGGCTTTTCTGTTCTTGAGAAGATTTTTATGCCACGGATCGAAAGATCCCGGGGTATATTGTTTTTGTCCTGTCTGTCTGTTTGTCTGTCTGTCTGTTGTCAACTTTAACCTTGCCCATAACTTTTGATTGGTTGGAGCTATGACTTTCATATTTCACATGTGTATTCCCTGTGACAAGACCTTTCTTTGAGTACCATCATATTTGACCTTTTGACCTTGACCTTGGAGTTTGACCCACTTTTGCAAAATTTTAGGAGACTTTATCCTTGGCCATAACTTCTGAACAGTTGGTGCTTGGGGTTTCAAACTTCCCACGTGTATTCTTTGTGACAAGGCCTTCCATTGGATACCAACAACTTTGACATTTTGACCTAGGAGTTTGACATACTTTTGAAAAACTTTAACCTTGGCCATAACTTTTGAACGGTTAGAGCTAGGGCTTTCATACTTCACCTATGTAATCCTTGTGACAAGGCCCTCCTTTGGATACCAACCACTTTGACCTTGACCTAGGAGTTTGACCTACTTTTGAAAAACTTTAACCTTGGCCATAACTTTTGAATGGTTGATGCTAGGGCTTTCATACTTCACATATGTAATCCTTGTGACAAGACCTTCCTTTGGATACCAACCACTTTGACCCTTTGACCTTGACCTAGGAGTTTGACCTACTTTCGAAAAACTTTAACCTTGGCCATAACTTTTGAATGGTTGGTGCTAGGACTTTCATACTTTACATATGTAATCCTTGTGACAAGACCTTCCTTTGGATACCAACAACTTTGACCTTGACCTTGATGTTTTACTTACTTTTTAAAAACTTTAACCTTCGCCATAACTTTTGAACAGTTGCACCTAGGGCTTTCAAATTTAATATTTTTTATCTTTTGGCCTGGATTTTGACTTGCACTTGAGAAACTTTATCCTTCGCCATAAGCTGCCATACGGGGGCATCAGTGTTTCACAAACACATCTTGTTTCCTATATATTCCTATGTGAAACTTTGATTCCCCGTTGTGGCCCCACCCTATCCCCAGGGGACATCATTTGAACACACTTGAATCTACCTGAGTATGCTTCTATATCAAAGTAACTAATAATGGCCTTGCTGTTCCTGAGAGGAAGATTTTTAAAGTTTTTTCCTATGTAAAACTTTGATCCCCCTTTATGACCCCACCCTACCCCCGAGGGTTATGATTTGAACAAACTTGAAACTACACTACCTGATGATGCTTCCTTATCAAAATGACTGATCACAGCTTCGTTGTTCTTGAGAAGAAGATTTTTATAAAAAAAAAAAAAATTCCTATGTATTCCTATGTAAAATTTTGATCCCCTATTGTGGCCCCACCCTACCCCTGGGGATCATGATTTGAACAAATTTGAGTCTACATTATGTAATGATTGTTTCACATAAGTTTCAACTTTTCTGGCCTAATGGTTCTTGAGAAGAAGATTTTTGAAAGATGACACCAAATTTTCACTAATTCTTAATTATCTCCCCTTTAAAGAGGGCGTTGCCCCTTAATTGAATAAATTTGAATCCCTTTTACCCAAGGATGCTTTGTGGCAAGTTTGGTCAAAATTAGCCTAGTGGTTCTTGAGATGAAGTTGAAAAATGTGTAAAGTTTACAGACAGGCAGACAGACGGACGCCAGATAAAATGTGATCAGAAAAGCTCACTTGAGCTTTCAGCTCAGGTGAGCTATAAAAAGTGCTTTTTTAAGGTAATTCCACCCTCGTGTGATGTCATACATTCTTGCAAAATCTTTCATTAATTCAATTTATATTCAATACAAAAATCTTATGGGGGATGTTTTAAATAGGTGTAATTAAAAATATTGTTTAATAAAAGAATTGAAAAAGAATATATACTATGATTTATAGAATATTTATTCATTTTAAAAATGCGCAAAGGGCAATAACGTTTACTCATTTATCTCTGTTTATGGAGTTTCATTTTTAAACGTATATTGAGAAATGGTTTCCCCGATTTACAAAATTTACACATATTTTCAAAGATGCATTTCTATGGATAATTCATTTTTAAAATTATGTCAGTTAAACCATTTTTATCAGTGATTTTGGTAATGCTGTTTACCTAAAATAAAAGATGTTTAGTGCTTACAAATACTCTTTATCCTAGTCTGACATCTTTAAAAAAAGATGGCGACCTATTTATTTTTAGTGATTAATAATAAATGTGTAAGTTAAGAATCACCTTAAATTTTAAATTCTGGCAATTTTCTGATATAATTTATGAGACGCTTGCCAACTTATGTATTTTTTTCTGTGCTTAGAAATCCTAATTATGGTCAGAATAATGAGTTCTTAAACATGAAGCATCAAAACTCTATATAGACACTGTAAGGCAAATTATTTGTCATTCAGTATCTTTAAAATCAGAAAGGGAACCCGATGAAAGAACTGCTTTAAGATATGTGCGACATACTAAATTATAAATATACAAAATATGGGAAAAATTAGTGACATTTATTTTTCAGCTTAATGTTCTTTTTCCCGTTAGAGCAGTTTGGTCAACAGCTTTCTTATCTGAAATTAGAGATATTGGTAGAAAAATATTGTGTTCTATAATGTCTGATTTGACTTATTGATTATTTGTCTTTATTGGTTCATTATTCCGTCCATAGTGAGAAAATATTAAAGTGACAGTACGGCGCATATCATCAAAAAACTGACTTGATAAAATTTTCCAACAAGATTTGGAATTTTTTTTACTACCCATAAATATATAAACTTTCAGAAAATTACAACTTTCAGAATTAAATAATTTTGATTATTTCATTAAAATTAATAGTTATTTATGGGACGTAAATATATACATCGCAACGTGTTCGGGGTTCCACATTCCATGCCATGCACGCATGCGTAGTTTTCATAAACAAAACAGCATGGTAAGAGAGGGGAAGCCCGGTAGGCCTGCTATATTGACAAAGTCTACCAAAAAGAAAAAGAAACTGAAAATAGAACTTGAGAAAGCAACTTTCCTGACTAAAGTTTAGTTTGGGGATTAATATAATCGTTGGATAAGGAAGAAACGGGAACTCGGTGACACTCACGCAGGGCTCTCGAAGGTTCTACTCGACAGGTTTGTTGATACTTGTTATCATTTCTCATTTTTCCTTCGCTTTCAAAGGAAAATAAAAATAGTGTAAACTCAACATAAAAATACATCTTTGACTTATAAACATTGTTGCCATTTGAAGTGCTAATTTTTTTAAATGTGCAGAAAAATATTTTGTTTGGAATTTGCCGCGATAACGTATGACTTGGTGGTTTTTCCTTTCTCGGACCCCTATACACAAAACATCAACATTTGTACTTTTAATTCTTTTAAATTCGCCTGAAAGCAGACTAAAATCTTAACGATTATTATTTTAGATTATTTCATCAGAAAGTTATGATAATCTGCTTTTGACAATTGCTTTTATCTCATATTCATTATAATTGCAAACTCTACAGTGTAGACACGTGCCGTTTTAGAATTCACGTGGTACAAATAAACATATCTAAGATTGCTCCAGTTCGTACGACCCTTGATTTTCCGGAAGATTCTAATTACGTTAATTTTGTATGAGGAGAGAATATTTTTGTTTCTCAAACTGCTTACATCAACTTTATACTTTATTTCTTAATGGTATATTGGGTAAATTTGAATGAAAAAGCACACGTTTTGTAGCCGTACTGTCGCTTTAACACAGTTTAAAAAGTAACTGTGTAGAAATGTTTCGTTTTAGTTATCTCAGAATTGGAATTTAGTATTAAATATTTACATCCTTTGAATATTATTTCCTTTATTTCTTAAGAAACCCATTGCCTTTTATCAATGAGTATACAACAGTAAGCAAGCCACCTGCATCGATTTCTTGAGCAACGGCTGTTCCATCAATTATACATACAATGACATACAAAT